GCCATATTGTCGCCATATTTTTGCCATATTGTCGCCATATTGTCGCCATATTGTCGCCATATTGTCGCCATATTGTTGCCATATTGTCGCCATATTTTTGCCATATTTTTGCCCTATTGTCGCCATATTTTTGCCATATTGTCGCCATATTTTTGCCATATTGTTGCCATATAGTCGCCATATTTTTGCCATATTGTCGCCATAACGAGACAACAACACACGTATAATTCTCAGTGCAGCTATACACTCATAGAAACCAGAGAAGGTTTGTCCAAAACACGATGCACTTTTTACCCGATTTTCGTGTCCGTCTGTCTTAGTAAAAGTCTGTCTTTTCGTGTCTGTCTTAGGCTTCGTTTCGTGTCTGTCTGTCTTAGTAAAAGTCTGTCTTTTCGTGTCTGTCTTAGGCTTCGTTTCGTGTCTGTCTGTCTTAGTAAAAGTCTGTCTTTTCGTGTCTGTCTTAGGCTTCGTTTCGTGTCTGTCTGTCTTAGTAAAAGTCTGTCTTTTCGTGTCTGTCTTAGGCTTCGTTTCGTGTCTGTCTGTCTTAGTAAAAGTCTGTCTTTTCGTGTCTGTCTTAGGCTTCGTTTCGTGTCTGTCTGTCTTAGTAAAAGTCTGTCTTTTCGTGTCTGTCTTAGGCTTCGTTTCGTGTCTGTCTGTCTTAGTAAAAGTCTGTCTTTTCGTGTCTGTCTTAGGCTTCGTTTCGTGTCTGTCTGTCTTAGTAAAAGTCTGTCTTTTCGTGTCTGTCTTAGGCTTCGTTTCGTGTCTGTCTGTCTTAGTAAAAGTCTGTCTTTTCGTGTCTGTCTTAGGCTTCGTTTCGTGTCTGTCTGTCTTAGTAAAAGTCTGTCTTTTCGTGTCTGTCTTAGGCTTCGTTTCGTGTCTGTCTGTCTTAGTAAAAGTCTGTCTTTTCGTGTCTGTCTTAGGCTTCGTTTCGTGTCTGTCTGTCTTAGTAAAAGTCTGTCTTTTCGTGTCTGTCTTAGGCTTCGTTTCGTGTCTGTCTGTCTTAGTAAAAGTCTGTCTTTTCGTGTCTGTCTTAGGCTTCGTTTCGTGTCTGTCTGTCTTAGTAAAAGTCTGTCTTTTCGTGTCTGTCTTAGGCTTCGTTTCGTGTCTGTCTGTCTTAGTAAAAGTCTGTCTTTTCGTGTCTGTCTTAGGCTTCGTTTCGTGTCTGTCTGTCTTAGTAAAAGTCTGTCTTTTCGTGTCTGTCTTAGGCTTCGTTTCGTGTCTGTCTGTCTTAGTAAAAGTCTGTCTTTTCGTGTCTGTCTTAGGCTTCGTTTCGTGTCTGTCTGTCTTAGTAAAAGTCTGTCTTTTCGTGTCTGTCTTAGGCTTCGTTTCGTGTCTGTCTGTCTTAGTAAAAGTCTGTCTTTTCGTGTCTGTCTTAGGCTTCGTTTCGTGTCTGTCTGTCTTAGTAAAAGTCTGTCTTTTCGTGTCTGTCTTAGGCTTCGTTTCGTGTCTGTCTGTCTTAGTAAAAGTCTGTCTTTTCGTGTCTGTCTTAGGCTTCGTTTCGTGTCTGTCTGTCTTAGTAAAAGTCTGTCTTTTCGTGTCTGTCTTAGGCTTCGTTTCGTGTCTGTCTGTCTTAGTANACTTTATTGTTATAGAGTTTTAAATATATTTAATATTAAATATTAAATTTTAAATATTTTTAAATAAATAACAAATTTAAAATATAGAGTTTTAAATTTGTTATAGAGTTTTATTGTTAGAGTGTTTTAAAAGTTTTTTTTATTTGTATTTTATTGTATCAAGTGGTTCATCCTGACACACTTTTGCATGTCAGAATTTGGACAATGTGTGCCATATATTTCTTTGAGTGTTGAACATGACCATTTATGGGGTAATAGGGGCAATAATTGGGGGCCATAAATAACAGACAGACAGACAGGGGTACAGACAGACAGGAGTACAGACAGACAGGAGTACACAGACAGTAGTACAGACAGACAGACATTTACAGTACATACAGTAGTACAGACAGACAGACATTTACAGTACAGACAGTAGTACAGACAGACAGACATTTACAGTACAGACAGTAGTACAGACAGACAGACAGACATTTACAGTACAGACAGTAGTACAGACAGACAGACAGACAGACATTTACAGTACAGACAGTAGTACAGACAGACAGACAGACAGACATTTACAGTATACAGACAGTAGTACAGACAGACAGACAGTCTTTAATTTAACAAAAAAGCAAAAATTTTCAATTTTTTAACCCACAAAATCGATCAAAATTTTGAATGTTTTGAAAGTTTCCTGAGGAAGGAGCTAGCGGGGCACCACACTCTGCTAAATTAGTGGGACTTTGTCTAATTACCGACGCACTTCTTGCCCTTTGTATATGGGTCATCCTGACACAGTTTGGCAGAAAATGTTTCAGGATGACGTGGGTAAAGTGGGTCACTAATTAGACAATGTGACCCATTCGTTCACTGAGTGTACATGCGGGCATGGCAGAATTAAAGCGAGATTACGCATCGTTATTCCCAAGCATCAGGGCAGTGATAGGCTAACTATACACCATGGTGGCCATAAATTAATATGAAACGCTAATGTTATTCCTACCGAAAGTCTGAGCTGATATCGAACGATCAATTAATGGCCAGATTAGAAATGATGCCTGTATTTACCAGCACCTGACCTGAACCAGAAAAAACACAACACCTGCTCAAGAAGGTCAAGAAAGTTAGTTCTTACCTCGTAAAAGTATTTTGTTGGATTCTTTTCCATGCCGCATCCTCGGCCAACTCTCTCTCCGTGCTTGACATTTCCTCTTCTTCGTCGTCTATTTCTTGTTTGGTTTTATTTTTGCCGTACCGGTGGTTAGGATTAGGAGGACACGCGACACTGTCACCTCCACCAATGCCAGAAGGCAACTGGTCGTGGTTGTGACTGTCAACCGATGTCATTCTGGTGTCGTCGCGCTTCTGGCACCGTAATATTTCGGAGTTACCAAACACTGCCAGATAATTTAATACCAACTGATATCTTCTTTATTAATTAATTTTATTATTAATCACTTTCTTACGCAATCCAAATTATATATAATAATTAAATTCAAATCATTAACACAGTTCGAATTATTTATTTTGATTAAATTCAATTCTTTATTATTAATCACTTTCTAAGATACCAAACACTGCCAGATAATCTAACACAAACTGATATCTTCTCTATTATTAATCACTTTAATACGCAGTTCAAACTATTTATATTAATTAAATTCAAATCATATCATGATGTTTCCATTCACTGATCTTCACAACACGGATTACGACTTTTAAAATCTGTGGAGAAAGAAATTTAAAAGACCTTGCATTCTCATAAGAAAAAATAAGAATAAATATGAAAAATTCACACTAGAAACTGCAAAAATTAAAAAAATTTATGTCTGATCTAAATTTAAAATAAATATAATGGTAGATTAAAATTATATTGTTGCCATATATCGCCATATTGTCCAAAATGACGATGGTTTTCATCCAATCGAATGCATTGCAGCAAAAAAATGATGAAGAAAACACAACATTTTTAAAGGCAAACATTTTCCCGTAAACAAAAGTGAGTCAAAGAAAAAAAAGTGCGAAAGTGAGTCAAAAGAATGGGATGGAGTTAACGGTTAACCGTTGTTAGGTGCGGGTTAAAATGTTATTGTGGTTAAAGATTTATACGGCTAGAACATTAATACGGTTCAAGATTTATACGGCTAGAACATTAATACGGTTAAAGATTTTACGGCTAGAACATTAATACGGTTAGAGATTTATACGGTTAGAACATTAATGCGGTTATAGATTTATACGGTTAGAACATTAATTAAATAATAGCTTTCTTATTTAATAAATATTTATTTCTTCATATAAGATATTCTATAATATACATTATATATCTTATTATAAATATATTATATATCATATATACATGATATATTTCATTATATACACTATATAAATTGATATATACATAATATATCATATTATATATATTATATACATAGAATTTTTTATTAAATACAATATATATACTATACATATCATATTATATACATGAAATTTTTCATTATATACAATATATATTTTCTTGCATACGTGATCACTGAAGATAAGATAAAGCGAGGGCGGAGCTGAGATAAGAGATAACGAGCCTGGCGCTACTGCAGTGCAAGATACGAGAGATAAGAGATACGAGACAAGCACGAGAGATACGAGACAAGCACGAGAGATACGAGACAAGCACGAGAGATACGAGATATCATTATATATGTTTATATACATATATTAATATATGTTTATATATATTATAATATATATCAATAAAATATATGTCATTATATAATATAAAAGACTATAGAATAGCTATACTACGATAGAACAGGTGCTATATATATACATCAGGTACATATATGAACAACAGGTACTATATATATATATATATAAGAGATGCAATATATATAAGAGTTACAATATATGTACAACAGGTGCTATATATACAACAGGTATTATATATATATAATATATATAATAATATATAATAATATAGAGGTACAATGCATGCAATAAGTACAATAGCAGAGACGCAGGTAGCGGCGCAGTCTGCGTGTCATCCGCGTGGCCGGATGCGGTTATCTCTGAGCCTGCGGACTGTCGGTGTGACGGACAGACGGACAGACTTACAGACGGGTCAAGTTGCAGACAGACTTACAGATGGGTCAAGTTGCAGACAGACTGACAGACAACTTCCCTACATACCGGACAGAGAAGCAGACAGACAGGAGGTAATGGCAGACTAATAGCTTTTCTGGCAGACTGTGAAAGTAAATGTCATTTGATTGAAGGACAGACTATATATGACAGACTATATATGGCAGACTGCGGTACCCGTGCAAACATTTTCGATCTCTGGCAGAAAATATTCGAATAATATATTTATAATTATTTTTTAGTGCTATAAAAATGCACTATTGTGCTCGCCATGTCCGTCCGTCCGTCTGTCTGTCCGTCTGTCCGTCCTTCCATTACCTCAAGTTTCTGTCGACAAGAAAATGCGCTCTCTGTCACTCATTGCAGTGGATACTGAGTTATATTTATTTTATATTGTATATAATAATTTTGTACGTATGTCATTCCAAATTTCATTTCACATTGCACCTTGTAACTTGAAAATGGATGATTGAAACATCCGAAACGTCGTTAACGAAATAAAAATGTTCACTGGTGCTTTGATTTTTAATTTACCAATTCAAACGAAAAATATTGTTCAACATATTGAAAAAATGAATTAGAAAACTGTCAATAAAACAAATTCACCGGTATTCAAAACCTGCAATATACATTATTTATATTCACAGATTTTTTCGTACTGTTATGTTAATTATATTAGGCTGAGTGTGAAATATCACCTGCTGTTAAGAATATTATTTATTTATACTTTCTACATAACCTTCTTGACTCTCCAGGTTCTTCTTTTCTTTAAGCTTTCTCGTGGAAACTTTGAGTAACAACAAACCAAGAGGTTAAATTTCGATTGAATGTTTAATGATGATTGAATTTAAAAGCTTAATAATCGATAATATTAGTAAACACCGCGTAATATCATTGATGAAAAATAAAACTTAATAAAAGAAGTGAAAAGATCAATAGGTAATTACTTGACGCACTTTATTGCAGTCTCTCTTACAAACGCGAGTCATAGAAAACGATAGATCATACGTACGGGGACTGAAGCATTTCATGTAGACACAAGCGTTCAAGTAGACAACAGTCAAAAGTCAATAAAGTGTTATTACTCTACATATCTAAAAAAAACTATGTACAATAAATTATACATTGTTCTATATAACTAAATACAATTTCCCTCATTGATGTTTAAAAAAATAAATTACTGACAAAAAATCTTCCGTAAGAAAAAACATAAAAAACCATTTGAAAACCAATGAAAAAATCGTCTAAAATTTGCAGTATTATTTCTCGTCATTAGTTATCGATTTATCTTTTTATCGATATCTTTTATCTTTATATCTTACTTTTTTATCTTTAGTTATCTTTTCATCAATAACATATTATTTTATATACTGTTCAATAAAATATTTTAGCAAATAATCACCCAAGACTTCATGCATGAGGCGAATCTTGAAAATCATGATTAAATTAAAGTTTCAAAATTGAACGTAAACGCATTTACAACTATTATTATCTCATTTAAATTAATTTTGAATGCGTATACATTGAATATTATCTTACTTAAAGTAATTTAAGTAATTTTTTAAGTAAATATTATCTGTTTTAGAAATATTGAAGAAATATTGAATACTGTTTTAAGTTAAGTAAATTTAAGTAAATATTATCTGATTTAAAGTAATTTTGAACGCATTTACAGCAATTATTATCTCATTTAAAGTAATTTTGAACACAATTAAATTAAATTAAATTAAATCGTTAAATTAGTGCCTGGTGTTGCCTGTCGGGGGGCCGCCCCCCTACAAGGCAGCGCGACGTATGGCCGTAAATGGCGGCCGTGAACGACCATAAACCGACCATAAATGGACGAGGATAAGACGACCATAAACGGCCAGCCGGGCCCCATATATGGGGTGTGCAGCGCAGCTAACACATGCGTCCCCACGTATGGGCCCCACTCCCCGACCCCCTGGGCCCCACTGCTCTCCCCACGACACCCAGGGCCCCACTGGGCCCCCCACGTGACATGCTCAGAACTAGACACTAGACATGCTCAGAACTAGACATGCTCAGAACTAGACATGCTCAGAACTAGACATGCTCAGAACTAGACATGCTCAGAACTAGACACTAGACATGCTCAGAACTAGACATGCTCAGAACTAGACATGCTCAGAACTAGACATGCTCAGAACTAGACATTTCACAGACTGTATTTCACAGCACCCAGTAAGATTTCAGCCAGAAAAAGAAACTTCAGTATTTCTAAACAAACAATGTGTGTAATGTTTCTAACAATTATATATATCCATTTTATTATTAATAATATAATCGTATTTACAGCGACGCTGAAACTTGTAAAAAAACACGTGATTTTCAGTTATTATTAGGTAAACGTTCATAATGGAATTTACTCCCACGCGCAACACATCCACCCTCACCGACAGCCCGCAGGCAACTGACGTCAACAGATGTCCGTGACCAACTGGCGAGGCTGACCTCTGGCGGGTGCCGAGTGTGACTCACACAGCCTGCAATCTGTCTCTCAAAATCCTCGTATAACTCATAATTTCTCATCAAATATATACTTATATTTAATTATATAACAGATATACTAATCATGTTGTTTTTTAGAAGATATAATTGCCTAATAAAATGTTAAAGAAGCTCTCAAACTTTCGTTAAAGCTCAAGTTTGGTAAGCATGTTTGACCGGCCTTGAGGGGGTGGCGGGGGTAAAAGCTGTTCCATTGTACACGAGTAATGTACAGATGTATACTATACAGCTGTGGTGTGTACATATGTACCATGTATATATCTATTGTAATACATGTACTTATTCATCACTTTGGAAGGTATTCAGCACGATAATGTCTTGGAATTTACATAAATGTTTGACTGTGGTTATGTTTTGGGTACAGGTGCGGGGTAAACGGATTGTGCAACTCTGGCAGTGAAAGCAGCGTCCGAGTGTCGTATTTTTCCTTCGTATATCGTATTTTTTTTTCGTATTTCGTATTTTTCGTATTTTTCTTTCATATTTTCTGCCCGCAAATACAAAACTCAAATGAAAATAATTTAACTGAAATTTTTTTTATAACTGAAATTGGAAATTATTTTCGAATTCATGGATAATTTAAATGAAAAATATTTTTTTACATCTTTAATGTGTAAATATTTTAATTAAAAAATTTTTTATAACTGAAAATGGAAATTATTTTCGAATTCTTTAAATGAAAAATATTTTTTTATTTCTTGAATGATGAAAATAATGAATTTTAGGATTTTCGAAGAATAAAAATAAACAATTCCTATGTAATGGCAATAGATAATCGTTGGATAATGGAAAAGAATTTTTTTAATATCATAACTCAATGAGTTCTGAGTTTTTAAATACAAAATCAAAAAAACTTGTTGGTCTGTAAAATAATGAATTCTCGGAAAATTTTGCGGCCGGACTCGCGGCCGGTCTCCAAATTCAGTGAACAAGAAATATCTCCAAAATTAATGAACGAAACTCGATAAAACATTTTACACGTATTTATTAGGACCTAACGGTGATGTTTAGCTCGTGGAAATTTTTTGGATTTTGCCTTCGTTCGCGAGTTATTTTTCAATTTTTAATCATTCGTGCTTTAAACAGCAATACGTGCTTAAATTCACAGTGAACATGAGATTTCTTCTAAAATAATTAACAGATTTTAGCAAAACTTTTTGTATGAAAACCTAACCTTCCAACGGTGTTGTTCAGCTCATGACAATTTTTTAGATTTTTCCTTCGTTTGCGAGTTTAGATTTTTACTTATTCGTAATTTAAACAGCAAAACGTGCTTAAATTTGCGGTGTACAAGAAATTTCTTATAAAACTTTTTGTATGAATACCTAACCTTCTAACGGTGTTGTTTAGCTCAAGAAAATTTTTCAGATTTTTCCTTCGTTTACAAGTTATACGGTTTTACGTATACGAGTCTTGGTCAATGCAAATTTAAAAATCGGACTGGGGATAGCCGGTTATTTCTCCGTACACTGTTAGAAAAATTACCGTTAACGGTATTACCGGCGTTAACGGTATTACCGGCGTTAACGGTATTACCGGCGTTAACGGTATTACCGGCGTTAACGGTATTACCGGCGTTAACGGTATTACCNTGTCACCGTTTTTATTCTAATTTAACACTAGAAATCCGTAAAACATCTGATAAAAACGGCGAAACAGTTTATTTTCACGGGGCGACCGGCCACTAGAATGCCGGTGGGACCGTTTTTTGACCGTTTTTTCTGACAGTGTATATCCCTATAACTCGCAAACGAAGACAAATATAAAAAATTGTCTCGAGCTAAACATCACCGTTAGAAGGTTAGGTATTTATATACAAATTTTCATTCAAATCTGTTCAGTATTTTAGAAGAAATTTACTCGCGTACGAAAGCAAAATCTAAAAAATTTCCATCTGGTAAACATCACCGTTGGAAGGTTAGGTATTTATATACAAAAGTTTTATTCAATTCTGTTCAGAAGTTTATAATAAATTTCTTGTTTACTGCGAATTTCGGCACTTATCGCCATATAAATCACAAACGAAAGTGAAATCGAAAAAATTCTCATATTTCCTGCCCGCATAAACAAAACTCAAATGAAAATAAATTAATTAAAAAATTTTTTGGAACGGAAAATGGAAATTATTTTCGAATTCATGGATAATTTAAATGAAAAATATTTTTTTACTTTTTTAATGATGAAAATAATGAATTTTAGGATTTTCGAAAAAGAATAATGAACAATTCCAACGAAAGCAAAATCCAAAAAACTTTTCAAGACTTAAACATCACCGTTAGGTCTTAATGAATAAGTGTACCAAGTTTCATCAAGCTACGTTCATTAATTTTGAAGATATTCATTGTTCACTGAATTATATTTCTTGTTCACTGAATTAGGAGACCGGCCCCAAGTCCGGCCATAAATTTGTCCGAGACTTAAAATAATAAATATTTTATATTATTTATATAAATATATATCATATATATTTTATAAATATATAAAATTTATATATTTATATTATCTATACGCAGGCAGTGGTGGACGCAGGCAGCGGTATAAAGCCTATTGGTTAACACGACTCTCAGACAAATTAATGTGCCATATTGACCAAATATCAACACAGTTTCTTCACGTAGCACTGATGCGCCTCATTCCGGGGTCTATACTTTCGAAAAAAGTTAAGAGATCGTAAGTTCATCAGCCAATCATTGACGGCCTTTCAAGCAAAATCCACCAATCATAGACAAGAAAATAGAGCGTAAGTACTTACGTTCACTTAATCACAGACAAGAAAATAGAGCGTAAGTACTTACGTTCACTTAGCGAGTTTTGAAATTATAGGCCCAGATTGCCGCTTGGAAAAGAATTCAGGCTCACGGTCCCGGTGGTGCCAATGGCATTTGGACCATCAAGATTGACCGGCTGGACCATCAATTGATTGAATTTTTTCATCAATGAAGATAATCCATCACCGAAATGCACATTTTTAAAGCTAGTTTTAGTATGTTGATAACATGTTTTTGTTTGAGCATAGGGACATTTTTCCGCTTCTTGTACTTGAATTTCTTCGAGTCATGCAATATCTAACGGATGCGTCGTGCTGCCACATAAACTCCAGGGGCCAATATTATAGAAACAGAGGTAGCGCCAGCTTTGGAAGCCTCTGAAAACAGTCGCCTAAGATCCCTGTCGGTTAATTTTGGGGTTGGTCCAGGGACCTTACTTTCAAAACTCGCTAAGTGAACGTAAGATTAAGTGAACGTAAGTACTTACGCTCTATTTTCTTGTCTATGATTGGTGGATTTTGCTTGAAAGGCCGTCAATGATTGGCTGATGAACTTACGATCTATCAACTTTTTTGAAAGTATTGGCCCAGGTGCATTTCTTGATCCGTAACCGTCTGAAGTAGCAAAAAGTGATTGTACAACGGTTTTTGAGTGTTTTATTTCCTTTGTGATGTCCCGTTGGCTTCTACCGTGTTTCGCATAGGCCAAAATATGCGCCTTCTCGGCCTCTGTGAGTCTTGTCCCTTTTGGCATCTTTTTTACTTCGAAATATTATAAATGAGGACAATGAACTACACCAGAACTACAACAGAAGTACCCTAAATGGCGAAAATCAGGATATTCTTCACGTTTCTGTACTTTTTAACGTGAAAATATAACAGAAGTATACTAAAATGAAGATAAACCCATTATGGTCTTTTAATCATTTCAACCTAGATTTTTCTAATTTTCATAATTTCTTCTCATATATTAAAAAAAATTATTTCGTATGGCGTTGGAACCGTTTTTAAACGTAGTTTAACCTCGCATAATTAGAATCCAGTTTTTTTAAGCACTAAAAAATATTCAGAAAAAAAACTGGACGGTCGTATAGCAGTTTCCGCCACTGTATGCCCATAGGTTTTTCCTAGGTATTATAAAATAGTGCTCTTCCCTAACAAAATTTCGAGGTGGGCGCGACTCATCATTAGGGTCCACCCAGGACTCGGGGAGCGCGTAAATCAGCTTCTCAAAGACAGCCTTGAAGACCCCTAACAAAATTTAGAGCCGAGGGCGGCTCTGGATTAAGGAACGCCTAGGACTCGGGGTGCGCGTAAATCAGCCGCTAATGACCGCCTCGGCTCAGGGTTTGAATGGCAGCCTCTGGGCAGCTTGCTAGCTCGGTATGACTCGGCTCGGCCAACCATTGTCATACTCTCAGGCGACTAAAAAGTCGGAAAGGAGTTTCTGACTAGAAACTTATTTCGATCGGTTGGCCAAGCAGACCCAGTGTAGTGTTAGCCATTTTTGCAACTTTTATTTTGTAATAAAATAATAATTTACCTTTACCTTGGCAACACCGTTAGGAAGTTAACGTCGCGCACACAATTTTCTCGTTGATCATTATCGTTTGGCTGATCCCCGCTGCAGATACGCACGTTGCCAAGGGTATTATTATTTACACTATTTTTACATATCTTAATACTTATATTCAAAGCCCACCTTGTCATTCATTTTCACTGCATTAAAATCTCAAGTTGCAGACTAAAAAGACCCCTAACAAAATTTAGAGCCAAGGGCGGCTATGGATTAAGCAACGCCTAGGACTCGGGGAGCATAGTCCACCGCAGCTTCCATGCATATGTCCGCTTTTCGGTCTACATTCCGGTCCCCGAATCAGACAGCTACAAGCGCCTGGTCCTTATTCTGCCAACTCTTGCCCTACTCTCAGGAGACTATAAAGTCGGCCAGGAGGTTCTGACTAGTCGCTGATTGCGATTAGTTGGTCAACCTCAGTCCCCTCACCAGGCTCTGGTAGCCGTCTGAATCGGGGATCGGAATGTAGACCAAAAAGCGGACATAGAGAAGCTGATTTACGTTCGGTCCGAGTCCTAGGCGGTTCCTAATTCAGGCTCGCCAGGCTCGCCAAATTTTGATAGGGAAGGGAGTTTCTGACCAGGGGCCATACTTTCAAAACTGGCTAAGTTAACGCAAGTAATTACGCTCTATTTTCTTGTCTATGATTGGTGGATTTGGCTTGAAAGGCCGTCAATGATTGGCTGATGAACTTACGACCTCTTAACTTTTTTTGAAAGTATATGGCCCCTGAAACTTATTTCAATCGGTTGGCTAAGCAAACCCAGAACAACTTTGCGACGACTGTAGAGACTATATTCGGCCGAAGTCCGGGAGGTCCCCAATTTTGATAGGGTTATTAGGTTGGTCTAAAATCTAGCATTATTTAGGTAAGTGAGAAACGATGTTCTAGTAAGGTTAATGAAGAATAAAACTCTTACTAACTTTTGAAACATGAACTCTTATTAGGTTACTGAAATCCAAACCTTTATCAATTTACTGAATAAGCAACATATTCATATAGAGTTACTGAAAATCCAAAATTACATATTAATTATCTGATATATAATTTCTCATCAAGGTAAGATTCGCATCAAGGTGAGGTTCTTCCCAGTGAAAATTTACAGACGCGGCAGCTTCTGATTTGGGATACCAGAAGCTGGGGCGGCTCTAAATTTTGTTAGGGTCGACCCCTCCAGCGCAAATGACGTTGACGAAATAACAGTAAATCAAATATATTTCAACGATAGATGACTGGTTAGAGTTATTAGTTTATCAGGTGATTATAAAGACTTCAATGGGCCGGGCCATCTTAAGAGGTTAGATGCCGACGACCCAGACTGGAAAATTCGTCAGCGTCGCACAGGATGTCGATGGAGTTTTCGTCTATCAAGCGACTGTAACGAACCCACCCGGTGCTGGGATATGAAAAAAACTATGTTGGAGGTTGGTTTTCAAGACCATATATGAAGTTAGTGATGTAAAATCACATAACATCTAGTGATCGCCGCATCATAACATCCTTTCCATATGAACTTTCATGATGTTAAAATTTTCCAACACATCTATTAGTTGTGAATTCGTATAAGTGATTATGAGAATATATCATAACAAATATTGAGATCATAAAACATCTCGAGGATATATCAATACATCAATTTGGTCCTACATCGGATCATTAATGTTGCATTTACATCATTATATCAATTTTACGATCACATCTAAGTACAAATTATCAAGATGTCATCCCATCTAGTCGTCTACACACACTTACAAACATCACACACATGAAATATTTGATGACTTACCGGTCACAATGCCAATGTCAGTGCCAATGCCTGTCTCAGAGTCGGTAGTTGTCGACGTGGTAGTTGTCGAAGTGGTTGTGGTAGTGGCTTCCACCGCAGTGGTACTCAAACTTTGGCCGAAAGTCTCTCCAGTTGGCAATCCGTAGGCAACCGCGACGTTTCCTCCGTTGCGTGCGAAGTTTCTTCCGGCACCAACGACGAAATTCGCATGGAACGAAAGCGTTTCGACGTACTTCACCAGACCGGCGACGGTGATGACAAAACCGGGGTAGGAACAGCCACCGTCTTCTGCGGTCCACGTCACGTCGAAGTTGTTGTTCACATCAAAGGTTGCTGCCACTGTCAGTACTTTGAATGAACCTGTAGTGTGGAATAAATGGCTTTACTGTTGAGTGGAATGAATGACTTTAAACATTGTGTAAAGACCATATATATTCTCTTACTTATAAAGCAAATAATCATAAATACCTGAGCCTCGTATAGAAACGTAGTCAAAATCCCGGCTAGAATCAAGGTTAAGATGGCTACAAAACTTCCTTACAGATAGAGAACAAGCTGTCGCAATTGGAAACTCGAAATCGAGAGAAGGGAGGGTGAACAGCGGAGTTCCACAGGGCTCAGTGCTTGGACTGATCCTCTTCCTCATCCACATTGCCGATATGGACTCTGAACTTACCCACGCATTTACATCGTCATTTGCGGACGATACAAGAGTGCTGATGAAGATCACAGATGACCTAGGCTGTCAGAAGTTACATGATGACTTATCGACAATCAGCGATTGAGCTCTAGTGAACAATATGCAGTTCAACGGCATCAAGTTCTAAGTAATGAGATGCAGAGTTGCACAGAGACCGGGATGCCACATCGCTACTTGGCATCAGATGGCACAGAAATTGAGGAGAAGCAACTAGTTCGAGATCTCGAAGTGTTGATGAGTCCCGAAGCACCTTTCGATGCCCACATCGAGGAAATAGTCGCGCGAAGCAGGCAAGCAGGTAACGGATGGGGTGGATCTGGCAGACATTTCGAAAGAGGAAGCAGCACCAATGATTACACTCTTATGACCCCTAGTGCTCCTCAATCTTGAGTATTGCTGTCAATTTTGGTCACCCACCGAAATTGGGCTGGACCAGAGTTGGGTTGGACTAATCTATCGCACCCACCGAAATTGGGCTGAACCAGAGGTGGGTTGGCCTGGTAGATGACTACGGGGTTTGCCGCTGCTGCCTGCTGGTTAGCGCATGAGAAACTCGGCACGGTTGTGTTGTAGGTGAGGCAGGTGGTACCATTGAAGGACAGGGTGGAGTGTCCTGCAAAGTTAGCGGAGGTTAGGATTCGGAGCAGAAATCAACACCGATCGCAGCAACAGGGCGGGTTCGGAGCAAGCTTGAGCAGGCTTACTCCGATCGCAGCAACAGGGCAGGTTCGAAGCAGGCTTGAAGCAGGCTTGGAGCAGGATCGAGCATTACAGCCTCACGCCAGTTAGTTCGAAGCAGGATCTAAAATGCCAGCGCCGGAAGGAGCCGAATGGCAGCACGGAATTTCATTTATTGAAATGGGTCTCAAAAAGGGGCATGTCTGCCAAATGCCTGCTCATCGACTGCTTCTAGCCTGCTCTGCACAGCGTTGGCCCGGCTCAAACATTCCGTTACATTTTCACTAGGTTGCGGCAGCTAGTGATGACGTTGTTTCATAGCTGCATTTGCCAGCTATTATTGCAGGCGATTAGTACTAGATTAATACTTTATGTCCAGAGTACTTATTATAACATGTACATGTACTTATTATTACCGGCCACGGCGGCGGCGTTGACGCAGTTAACCTAACCTAACCTTACCTAACCTAACCTAACCTAACCTAACCTAACCTAACCTAACCTTACCTTATTATTGCAGGCGATTAGTACTAGATTAATAATACTTATTATTACCGGCCACAGCGGCAGCGTTGACGCAGTTCATGAAGGTGGTAGCGCTCTGTTGGAAGCTTCCAAAGCATTTCAACATCGCCGGGTGAGTGTATGTGCGGCCATACACGACCCCCTTCTTGGACTTGATGGTCTGGAACACGACCGAACTTTGGACCTTCTTGCTGCAGGACTTCATGGGGTCTTGGGGGGATACAAGCACCTGCAATAAATAGGATCGTTATGGACTGGAACACGACCGAAATTTGGACCTTCTTGCTGCAAGACTTCATGGGGCCTTGGGGGTTCGCAAGCACCTGCAATAAATAGGATCGTTATGGACTGGAACACGACCGAAATTTGGACCTTCTTGCTGCAAGACTTCATGGGGCCTTGGGGGTTCTTACGTTCACTTAATCATAGACAAGAAAATAGAGCGTAAGTACTTACGTTCACTTAATCATAGACAAGAAAATAGAGCGTAAGTACTTACGTCCACTTAGCGAGTTTTGAAAGTATGGCTCCTGCTCCTTGACTGCTTATCCTGACAGGAACCCTAGCAAAATATAGTTACGGGACCGACTCTATAACAGAGGCCACCCAGGACTCTGGGAGCACGTAAATCAGCCGCTAATGTCCGCATCAGGGGCCATACTTTCAAAACTCGCTAAGTGAACGTAAGTACTTACGCTCTATTTTCTTGTCTATGATTAAGTGAACGTAAGTACGTACGCTCTATTTTCTTGTCTATGATTAAGTGAACGTAAGTACCTACGCTCTATTTTCTTGTCTATGATTAAGGGAACGTAAGTACTTACGCTCTATTTTCTTGTCTATGATTAAGTGAACGTAAGTACTTACGCTCAATTTTCTTGTCTATGATTGGTGGATTTTGTTTGAAAGGCCGTCAATGATTGGCTGATGAACTTACGATCTCTCAACTTTTTTGAAAGTATTGGCCCAGGTGCATTTTTTGATCCGTAGCCGTCTGAAGTAGCAAAAAGTGATTGTACAACAGTTTTTGAGCGTGTTATTTCCTTTGTGATGTCCCGTTGGCTTCTACCGTATTTCGCATAGGCCAAAATATGCGCCTTCTCGGCCTCTGTGAGTCTTGTCCATTTTGGCATCTTTTTTTACTTCGAAATAATATAAATGAGGACAATGAACTACACCAGAAGTACCCTAAATGGCGAAAATCAGGTTATTCTTCACGTTGCTGTACTTTTTAACGTGAAAATATAACAGAAATATACTAAAATGAAGATAAACCCATTATGGTCTTATAATCATTTCAACCTAGATTTTTCTAATTTTCATAATTTCTTCTCATATATTTTGAAAAAAAAATTATTTCGTATGGCGTTGGAACCGTTTTTAAACGTAGTTTAACCTCGCATAATTAGAATCCAGTATTTTTTATGCAATAAAAAATATTCAGAAGAAAACTGGGTGGTCATATAGCAGTTTCCGCCACTGTATGCCCATAGGTTTTTCCTAGGTATTATAAAATAGTCCTCTTCCCTAACAAAATTTTGAGGTGGGCGCGACTCATCATTAGTGGTCGCCTAGGACTCGGGGAGCCCGCTAATCAGCTTCTCAATGACAGCCTCGGCTCAGGGTTTGAATGTCAGCCTCTGGGCAGCTTGCTAGCTCCGTATGACTCGGCTCGGCCAGCCCTTGTCATACTCTCAGGCGACTATGAAGTCGGAAAGGAGTTTCTGACTAGAAACTTATTTCGATCGGTTGGCCAAGCAGACCCAGTGTAGTGTTAGCCATTTTTGCAACTTTTATTTGTATTAAAATAATAATTTACCTTTACCTTGGCAACACCGTTAGGAAGTTAACGTCACGCACACAATTTTCTCGTTGATCATTATCGTTTGGCTGATCCCCGCTGCAGATACGCACGTTGCCAAGGGTATTATTATTTACACTATTTTTCCATATTTTAATACTTATATTCAAAGCCCACCTTGTTATTCATTTTCACTGCATTAAAATCTCAGTTCAAGTCTCTTTCATTTACAATTTTGTTGGTTTACTGTGTGGGTAATGACTGGTACTTACCCCAGACCAGAATAACTTTGCGACGACTATAGAGACTATTCGGCCGAAGTCTGGGTGGTCCCCCAATTTTGATAGGGTTATTAGGTTGGTCTAAAATCTAGCATTATTTAGGTGAGTGAGTAACTAACTTCTACTAAGGTTAACGAAGAATAAAACTCTTACTAACTTTTGAAACATAAACTCTTATTAGGTTATTGAAATCCAAACCTTTATCAATTTACTGATTAAACAAACATATTTATATAGAGTTACTGAAAATCCAAAATTACATATTAATTATCTGATATATAATTTCTCATCAAGGTAAGATTCGCATCAAGGTGAGGTTCTCCCCAGTGAAAATTTACAGACGCGGCAGCTTCTGATTTGGGATACCAGAAGCTGGGGCGACTCTAAATTTTGTTAGGGTCGACCCCTCCAGCGCAAATGACGTTGACGAAATAACAGTAAATCAAAGGTATTTCAACGATAGATTGGTTAGAGTTATTAGTTTATCAGGTGATTATAAAGACTTGAATGGGCCGGGCCATCTTAAGAGGTTAGATGCCGACGACCCAGACTGGAAAATTCGTCAGCGTCGCACAGGATGTCGATGGAGTTTTCGTCTTTCAAGCGACTGTATCGAACCTACCCGGTGCTGGGATATGAAAAAAACTATGTTAGAGGTTGGTTTTCAAAACCAGTATAAAGTTAGTGATGTAAAATTACATAATATATAGTGATCGCCGCATCATAACATCCTATATGTACCTTCAACATCCTTAGCATCCTTGCTAGATGTACCTTCATGATGTTAAGATTTTCCAACACATCTATTAGTTGTGAATTCGTATAAGGGATCATGAGAATATATCATAACAGATATTGGGATTACATAAAACATATCGAGGATATATCAATACATCAATTTGGTCCTACATCGTACCATTAATGTTGTATTTACATTATTATATCTATTTTACGATCACATCAAAGTACAAATTATCAAGATGTCATCCCATCTAGTCGTCTACACACACATACAAACAACTTACCGGTCACAATGCCAATGTCAGTGCCAATGCCTGTCGCAGAGTCGGTAGTTGTCGACGTGGTAGTTGTCGAAGTGGTTGTGGTAGTGGCTTCCACCGCAGTGGTACTCGAACTTTGGCCGAAAGTCTCTCCAGTTGGCAACCCGTAGGCAACCGCGACGTTTCCTCCGTTGCGTGCGAAGTTTCTTCCGGCACCAACGACGAAATTCGCATGGAACGTAAGCGTTTCGACGTACTTCACCAGACCGGCGACGGTGATGACAAAACCGGGGTAGGAACAACCGCCGTCTTCTGCTGTCCACGTCACGTCGAAGTTGTTGTTCACATCAAAGGTTGCTGCCACTGTCAGTACTTTGAATGAACCTGTAGTGGGGAATAAATGACTATATACTTCGTGGAAATGACTATTGTCACTGTCAGTACTTTGAATGAACCTGTAGTGGGGAATAAATGACTATATACTTCGTGGAAATGACTATTGTCACTGTCAGTACTGTGAATGAACCTGTAGTGGGGAATAAATGACTATATACTTCGTGGAAATGACTATTGTCACTGTCAGTAATGTGAATGAACCTGTAGTGGGGAATAAATAACTATATACATCGTGGAAATGACTATTGTCACTGTCAGTACTTTGAATGAACCTGTTGTGGGGAATAAATGACTATATACATCGTGGAAATGACTATATTTATACTCCTATAAATATAATCATTATATTAGTATTACATTATAAGTATAGTCACATCAAAGGTTGCGTTCACTGTTAGTACTTTGAACGAACCTGTTGAGGGGAATAAATGACTTTACTGTTGAGTGGAATAAATTACTATAAACATCGTGTAAATGACTATATTTATACTCTTACTTATAAAGCAAATAATCATAAATACCTGAGCCTCGTATAGAAACGTGGTTAAAATCCCAGCAAGAATCAGGATTAAGATGGCTACACAACTTCCTTACAGATAACGTACAAGCTGTCGCAATTGGAAACTCGAAATCGAGAGAAGCGAAGGTGAAAAGCGGAGTTCCATAGGGCTCAGTGCTTGGACCGATCCTCTTCCTCATCCACATTGCCGACACCGATTCAGAACTCACCCACGCATCTACATCGTCATTTGCGGACGATACAAGAGTGCTGATGAAGATCACAGATGACCTAGACTGCCAGAAGTTACATGATGACTTTTCGACAATCTACGATTGAGCCTTAATGAACAATATGCAGTTCAACGGCACCAAGTTTGAAGTGATAATATACAGAGTTGGCACAGAGACCGGGGATGGCACATCGCTACTTGGCATCAGATGGCACAGAAATTGAGGAGAAGCAACTAGTTCGAGATCTCGAAGTGTTGATGAGTAACGAAGAACCTTTCGATGCCCATATCGAGGAAATAGTCGTGCGAAGCAGGCAAGGGATGGGGTGCATCTGGCAGACATTTCGAAAGAGGAAGCAGCACCAATGATTACACTCTTATGACCCCTAGTGCTCCTCAATCTTGAGTATTGCTGTCAATTTTGGGCGCCGCTCAAGGCGGGTGTGGTGCGGAAACTGGAGTCAGCCCAGCGGACCTTCACATCCAGGATCAGCGGTATGAAGGAGCTGAAGCAGGACTACTGGGGAAGATTGAAACACATGGGGCTGTACTCACTGGAGAGAAGAAGAGAGAGATATATCATATACCTGAAAGATGATAACCGGACTGGCTCCCAATTCAGAGAGTGAGACATCCAAAATAGTGACATATTACATCGAAAGGAGAGGGAGACTTCCCACCGAAATTGGGCTGGACCAGAGTTGGGTTGGACTAATCTATCGCACCCACCGAAATTGGGCTGGACCAGAGTTGGGTTGGACTAATCTATCACACCCACCGAAATTGGGCTGGACCAGAGGTGGGTTGGCCTGGTAGATGACTACGGGGTTTGCCGCTGCTGCCTGCTGGTTAGCGCATGAGAAACTCGGCACAGTTGTGTTGTAGGTGAGGCAGGTGGTACCATTGAAGGACAGGGTGGAGTGTCCTGCGAAGTTAGCGGAGGTTAGGATTCAGAGCAGAAATCAACAGCGATCGTAGCAACAGGGCAGGTTCGGAGCAAGCTTGAAGCAGGCTTGGAGCAGGCTTGAAGCAGGCTTGAAGCAGGCTTGAAGCAGGCTTGAAGAAGGCTTGAAGCAGGCTTGAAGCAGGCTTGAAGCAGGCTTGAAGCAGGCTTGGAGCAGGATCGAGCATTGCAGCCTCACGCCAGTAAGTTCGAAGCAGGATCTAAGCTGCCAGCGCCGGAAGGAGACGAATGGCAGCACGGAATTTCATTTATTGAAATGGGTCTCAAAAGGGACATGTCTGCCAAATGCCTGCTCATCGACTGCTTCTAGCCTGCCCTGCACGGCGCCGACCCGGCTCAAACATTCCGTTACATTTTCACTGACTTGCGGCCGTTAGTAATGACGTTGTTTCATAGCTGCATTTGCCAGCTATTATTGCAGGCGATTAGTACTAGATTAATACTTTATGTCCAGAGAACTTATTATAACATGTACATGTACTTATTATTACCGGCCACGGCGGCAGCGTTGACGCAGTTACCACTGGAACAAATGTTACTGGAACAAATGTTGCTGGAACAAATGTTACTGGAACAAATGTTGCTGGAACAAATGTTACTGGAACAAATGTTACTAGAATAAATGCTACTGGAACAAATGTTGCTCGAACAAATGTTACTGGAACAAATGCTACTGGAACAAATGGTGAACAGATCTGTTACTGTTCAACAGGTGCAGCAATACTTAAAAATAAATTTTTAGAGGCAACGTTTCTAAACACTTCTGAAGAATCCAGTGTCTTTGATGTTGCATATGTACAATGAATTTATAATTGTATTTTTATATATCAAAAAATTAGTTTTCAACATTTTTTTAATATTTAAATTTTTTTAACATATCAAAATTATTTCTTCTGTCAACTGATTCATAAATTGTCTCTGACTTGTCTGAAAAAAGTGTGCAAAAAGTGTGCAAAAATTGTGCAAAATTTCAGGTCGATTGGAGAGGTAGAAGTGTGTTAAATATTGATTACAAGATTTGTAGAAGAAAAAATTACTTTTATTTTTTTTAATAATGAGAATTTTTTTTTATTTATAAAATTATTTATTCTGTCAATTGATTCATGCATTGTCTCCAACTTTACGCAAGTGTGCAAAATTTCGGATCGATTGCAGAGGTAGAAGTGTGTTAAATATCGATTATAAGATTTGTAGCAGACAGACATACAGACAGACAAACAAACAAGAAGTGAAGTTAAAGAGAAGTGTTGTAAAAAAGTACAGTGCATTTGTAATGACCCAAATAATTAGAAAATTTCTAACAAACCACTGAATTTATATGGCCAAACCATGCAAAATAATCGAACAAATAGTTTATTATAGTATGTGTTTAAATTCAACATTGCACTTTAGTTTCGAGCTGCTTTTTACAGACAGTGTACCTTTGCTAGCTTCATAACTATAACTAGCTTCATAACTATAACTAGCTTCATAACTATAACTAGCTTCAAAACTATAACTAGCTTCATAACTATAACTAGCTTCATAACTATAACGCTATATGTAACTCTGAACTGTCATCAGTGAACGCTATATGTAACTCTGAACTGGTTAAGGACAGATTAAGGACAGGTTAAGGACAGGTTAAGGACAGGTTACAGGTACAAGTTACCTCTCTATTTACAATTAAAAACCACTTTATTTTGTATTGCTAAAAAATATTTTATTTTAAACTAGCCTCTGATGAGTAACTGAAATAATCAATGCAAAGTCCGTAGACTTCAGCTGAATGGTACGCTGTAGCTAATATAAGCAGAATATACGGCAGAGCAGCTATAAGTCATATAGGCAGAATATACGGCAGAGCAGCTGAGTAATATAGGCAGAATATACGGCAGAGCAGCTATAAGTAATATAGGCAGAATATACGGCAGAGCAGTTGAATAATATAGGCAGAATATAGGCATCGCTACCTAAATAATTTTATAGGCCTAGTAAACGTACATTATACCAACTAGACAACTTTTTAGTTCACTAACTACTAGCGATAAGGGATATATAAATTATTAGTTAAATGTTAAAGTAACATATATAACATATGTGAAATTTATAACATATTATAGGCTTTATATTGTACACTATATACTATTCATTATACTATTATATTATATTATACTATACTATACTATACTATAGTATACTATACTATACTATACTATAGTATAGTATAGTATAGTATATGTATATGTAACGCTGCTGTAACATGTAACGCTGCTGTAACATGTCATGTAACGCTGCTGTAACATGTCATGTAACGCTGCTGTAACATGTCATGTAACGCTGCTGTAACATGTCATGTAACGCTGCTGTAACATGTC